TTTGTCACTGTGGAGCCCTGTCGCAGATCATGGCCTTTCCTCTGCCATCCAATTACTGTGGAAGCTCTCATTTGGGAGCTCTCAGACACTGTAAAGGCCCGTGTGCATGTGGCTCCTTGTGAGTTCTCATAGCTTATCCCTGACCTTTTTGGGGTCCATCCTGTGCTTGAAGCCTTGGGTAATACCAACCGTTTCAAATGTGACATCCACCCCACTCCCTTTTTCCCTTTTTGTCTACAGTACTAAAGCTCTAACAGAGCTTGTTCCTACTAGCAGTCTAGAGAAGGTGCCAATCCTTAAAGGGGAGCGGGAGACAATGCATTAAAACAAACCTTCCCTTTTTGGGTGGAGCTCCACTTTAAGCAGGCATTTAGCATTGGAAAACATTGTCTTTTTTGAACACCGATGATGAAATAGCATATGGGTTTACACCACAGCTAGAAAGCCTTTTTGAAAAGACCACAATTTCTGAGAGATTGAGCAGGAATTTTTCTTCCGTAAAATAATAAATATTAGTGTCTTTTATGGACACAAGGTTGGGAATAGCACTACAGCTAAAAAGTCTGTTTGGACAGGCTTCAATATCTAGGAATTTGAGCAAGCATTTAGAAAATTGTGTCTTTGTGGATGGAAATAGCATAAAGGTTTGCACCACAGCTTTTTTTTTGAACCACCCACAACTTCTGAGAGATTGAGCAGGAAATAAACAGGTATACTGTGGATAGAAAAAGCATACCAGTTAGCAACACAACTAACAAACCTGTGTAGTCAATGTGCAATTTTGGTAGTAGAGAGCAGGCAGGCATATTGTACTAGGAAGTTGTGCTGTGTATCAGTGCCTTTGTTTTGGACACTAAAAAGGAAACAGCATACATCTTTGCAACACATCACTGAAGACTACATTGTCAAGGATGCACATTATACCAGACTGGAATTTGTGTCAAGTGTGCAGATTTAACTTTAAATAATTAAAAATGGTCTGTATTTTTATGGAGATATGATATAAATATTGTACCAATTTCAGACAGAGAATCTCAGCCTTAAAAATGGGAAGCACACTCTTATTTTTCACAATCTTAAAATCATACCAATTTTCTGCACAGAACAAAAATAGTGCTCATCAGAGACAATTGGAAAGGGAGAAAGCAGGCAGGCTCCATCTGTAAACACAAAAAATACATTTTATTCTCCCTAAGACAAAGGAGAAAAAATGTTTTGAGGAATGATCTACACATAATTCAAAACACATTTCATAGGCCTTAATTAAGGGAGGTAAAGACTGAGACTGGATGGATTTCATGTAAGGTATCACTGTTAGGCCACATTACTTTAACAAGGGTGGATTTCAAATTTGACAGCTAGGTAGCAGCATGAGGAAACAGAATACCTGGAAATCATAAGGACTGGCACAGACAGATATTCTGAAACTGTCTTGCATGCAGGTGCGGACTGACCATTTGGGCCCGGGGTCAGTAGGGGGCCCCATGAGATGCCCTGGTACTTTTTTCATAGGCTTTTTTGAGTATGGGCAAGGACACAGGGGCCCCATGATCCCCTATTGCCCGGGGGCCCCATGAGTTGTCAGTCCGCAACCTGCTTGCATGTGTTCTAAAAGTGGTGCAGCGTGCACCAAATTCATGTACCTTTCTGGAAATTGTAATTAAACTTGGAAAAATCTGTCTCTGTCTGCCAAAGGAAAGCTGGTCTTAATTAGCACCACTTTTGTAAGAAAAAACGGTTTGTATTTTATCATGAATTTTGACACATTCATTGTGCCACGATGCAGAAAATCAGCAAATTAAAACCGCCTGAATTTGGCACACAGATAGGTGTCAGGACCAAAACTGTTGCAGATGTTCTTGGTATTTTTTGTTTTTAAATAATGATGAGCTGAAATTTTACCCAAAAATTAAAGTGTTACTAAACTTAGGACCCTGCGTTCACTATATCTGGTCTACACAGATCACGGAAATACAATTATTTTAGTAAATATAAACTGCTAAATACCTTTTCTCATTAGCAGTTGGAGCAGTCTTCTATCAGTGTCCAGCAGAGCATTGGTTAAAGCTTGTAGGAGAAATTTTCATTCTCCTCTAGGAGGATGCAGAACCCCTCACCTCTGTCTGGACAGTGCTGATTGGCCCTGTGCTGATCACATGTACTCTTAATAAAAAAAAAAAAAACCATCTCTAGCAATACACACCAAACTGCACATGGACAGAGTGACACCAAACCTGTGTTCTATCAGGAGATATTTAGGGGACAATGGAAGAAGGGGAGGATCAGAGAAGTCAGGATCAAACACAATGCGGAGAATTAACCCCTTAGTTTCCACAGTGAGTATAACAAGCATGCTTTACTGCATATACAGACTGATTTTACTGTTGTGGGTTTAGTAACACTTTAATGACCAATGCAGTATTTACACATTTCCAAAATTTTACCAATTTCTACCTCTGTAAAAGAAATTTTTCAAAATTAGGTTTTACATATTTTGCTTAGCAATATAACAGAACAAAAAAATTCTTGCAGAGTAGAGGACCGACCCTGTGCAAACATTGTATGTTTTGTGCTACCATCACACAGCGGCAAAAATATTAGTTGAAAGGTGTTGGTGGTGCCCAAACACTGTAAACCCAACAATATCCAGCAGAGCACAAGCTGGACCCTGCTTTAACAAACATTCACGGTGTCTGCAACTGTGGCACAACTGTGAAAAAATTGTGTTTTTGGTGTTGGTGGGGCCCAAACACTGTATGCCCACAAAAAAAATCCTACACAGCACAGGATGGACCTTGCTGTAGCAAACAATCACGTATGTGCAACTGTTACATAGTTGTGAAAAAATTGTTTTTTAGGTGTGGATGGTGCCCAACACTGTAATCCCACAGAAAAATGACTGTGCAACTATTACAAAGCTACAAAAAAAAAATAGGTTTTAGGTGTGGATGGTGCCCAAACACTGTATACCCATAGACAAAATCCTTCAGTGCACAGTATGGACCTTTTTAACCACTTGCCCTCCTGAGGATTTACCCCCCCCCCCCTTCCTGACTAGGCTATTTTTTGCATTACGGCGCTGCATTACTTTAACTGACAATTGCACGGTCATGCAATGCTTCACCCAAATGAAATTTAGAGCTTTCTTTCGGTGGTATTTGATCGCCTGTGCATTTTTTATTTTTTTGCGCTATAGAATAAAAATGACCGACAAATTTGAGAACAAAAAACAATATTTTTTACTTTTTGCTAATAAAATGTCCAGTAAAAAAATCTTTAAAATCAAATTTATTTTACAATGAATTTTATTATAGATTTCACAACAACATAGAAACAGTCAGAGACAAGCTCATTGATACAAAAAAAAAGGGTAAGGTGTACAGTTCTGTTGATGAAAGACACAACAAATGCACTGAAACATTGACACGGAGAGAAACGGAGTATAAAAAAAACACAATCTCAAAGGGGATGAGACCCTATAAAACTGTGTTAACAGCAAACAGTAACCAATGAGCTGGTGGGCAAAGACCAAGGATAGTCACCAAAGTCGCATTCAAATGATAGGAAAAGCTGAGCATAAAATCTTACTAGGCACATATCGGAACTCTACACCTAGGACTTCCAAGAAAGTCCAACCGGTGCATTAGACTTTACAGGCACAGTTCTCTAGGGGTGTCTCAATCAGTGCATGTAACATAAAAACTGACAGAAACAAAAAAATAAATGAGAAGAAAAGGAAAGAAGAGAGAAAAGCGAAGAAAAAAGAAACAAGAATAGTAAAGACAAAGAAAGGGCTCCAAGGGATCGCACCAGGAGAATCTTATATCGACAGGAGGGTCTGATCAAATCTAGACGGTTGAGCCACATCAATCCAAGGATGCCAGATCTGCAAAAACTTAGTGTGGGTGTCTAACAGCATAGCCGTTAGCTTCTCATTAACCATTAAAAAATTCATCCGATTCTTAACGGCTTCAAAACTAAGAAGAGGGGTTTTCCAAGCTCTCGCGATCGTCAATTTGTAGCCATAAATAGATGCAATGATTACTGCCGCTCAGGACGGAGTAGGCCCACTAGTGGTTTAAATAATAGTGCCTCATATGGGTTACGCTTAATATTCATGTGTAGCATAGTGCAGAGAAGGGTATAGACACTAATCCACAGTCTGCATATCTTGGGGCAAGTCCACTAAATATGGGCCATGGTACCTATTTGTTGACAAACCCGAAAACAAGTCGGAGAATATGAGGGAATAAAGCGAGCCAGTAAGGCAGGCGTATAATACCATCTATAAAAGGACCTTATATTCATTTTCTAGTATGATAATGTTCCTCGAGCATTTAGACAAGGCTTGAGTCATGATCTGCCAGTCTTGCTGATCTATACAACCCCCCGAGTTCCAATTGCCACTGTTGATGATAAGAGCGAATTGGGGGAGTCCTATAAGAAATGATAGCGGAGTAGACAAGGATGATCAAGCTTGGCGCATGAGGCCTGTGCCTGCAAAGACTTTTGAAGGGAGTCAGCCTATAGGGACCCGAATGGGCTCGTCATAATGTAGTAAGAAAGTGATGGAGTTGTTTAAAATCAAATTTTATCATAAATTTAGGCCAAAATATATTCTGCTACATGTCTTTGCTAAAAAAAAAAATACCAATACATGTAAATTAATTGGTGTATGTGAAAGTTGTAGCGTTTACAAATGGCGGTATATACTGTATACTGGAATTTTTTTTTTAATTTTTACTATGGCAGTGATTAGCAACTTATAGAAGGACTACGGCGGACATTCTGACACTGGGGGGAACTGACTTGGTGTCAGTGACATCTCTAGTGATACCAGTACAGTGAAAAAAAAAGCACTGTACTAATGGCACTGGGCAGGAAGAGGTTAACATGAGGGGTGATCAAAGAGTTGACTGTGTGCTGGGTGTGTTTTATTAGGGGGCGGTGTTTGTGTGCTTCACTGTAAACACACTGCTGTGGATGGCTGTGTTGTGGACAGCCATCCAAAGCAGTGTGCCCAAGCTTACAGGGAGGAGGAGTAAAAAACACAATTCTCCTCCCTGTCTGCGAGTAATCACCGGGACGCGATGATAGACAGCCGCGGCTGCGAATGGTGGCGTGGGTAGGGCGCACACGTGCCCCCTACCCCTAAAAAAGGCAAAATCATGTATTTTTGCACGTGATTTTGCCCCCCAGTACCGCCCTGTAGCAATATTTCTGCTATAGGACGACTGGGAAGCCGTTAAACAAAATTCACAGCAGTAGCAACTGTGAAACAGCTGCAAAAATTGTAGGCGCTGCAATTGTGGGTGCAAAGAACAGCAGCTAATGCCCCATTTGTACACTATAACAATAGCAGACCTACAACATTGGCAGATAGTGGGATGTACTATTGGTGGCTGTGTGCGCTCATAAAGACCAGACATGGAAATGGTGGCAGCATGTGAAATATTTTTTGTGGCCTGCAATGGGGAAAGAAGCAGCTTTAGATGAAGCAAAAAAAATAAAAAAGTTGGAGGGTAACAGGATCTCCCAAATATTTAATCAGGAGCATCTGCGCAGAAGCTCGGTAGCTGCTGCTGTTCCAATACTGGTTAATTTTCACAAATGTCAGCCAGACAACAGTGTCCTTGAACAGACACATTCTTTTGTCTGTTACACAACCCCCCCACCTTTCTGAATTGTCACTCATTGCCAGTTTCCTTCATGAGTAAAGCTGGGTATACACTTTGAACTTTGTCTAACATTTTTTTTAAACAGTTATGATGCAAGGTAGATAGATAGAAACATTGTTACTTTTGTATCTACTGTGTTTCATTCATCTGCAAATTAAATATATGTGCTCTGATCTATTTATTTCTTACACACACACACACACACACACACACACTTTTTTATTTTTTTTATAGTCACATCAGTCCCTAACCCTCAAGGAGCATACAGTCTAGATCTGCACATGAAATCAGTTAAAGAAAAGTGACAAGTAAAATTAAAAATGAATAAAATGTTCTTTTTTTAACCCCTTAACCCTTTGAGGACCATAAGATTTTGGAACGCCAAAAGAATAAATTTTTTTGTTTTTAAAGTTCGTACACTTCAGTTGCTGTAACTAAGCCATTTCATGAAATAATTGGCAAAAAGCTAGATCCATTTGTTGTTTGTTGATAAGAACTAAAATTTTGACTCAAACCAAAAAAAAAAAAAAGAGTTTTAAGTTCTTAATCAGATGACACGCAATTAAAAACATGGGACAAATACGTCCCTTGGTCCTCAAAGGGTTAATAACAATTCGTCCACCCTAGTGAGCCCTAATGAATTCTTTCTTCCCCTTCTCCCATTAACTAATATTTTTTCAGATGATTTTTCTGTTTATTTCTATTTTTCTAACAACTAATATTTAAACTTTTTATTTAGTGTCACATGATTTTATTTGTAAATACATTTTAAGTATTTTGATTGAGTCATAATGTTAGCGTCACCAACACTGATCAACATAGGAAAAAAGGAGGGTTATTTGTTACTTTTGGATTGCGTAAAAGTATTTTTTTTTTTACAAACAATATCACAAAAAAAGCAAGCATTGTTTATTTTGAATAATATATATTACATTGTTATCTTAAGTAATGACAAAGTCAATGCCGAATAAACAGGCTCATAGAAGAGCTGTAAACAGAAACGTGTACAGGTGTTAAAGCTGAAGTAGTTAAAGGAGAAAAGGAGATTATGCAATGGACAAGCATTAGAGATACAATGAATGAACATCACAAAAAAAGATACATAAATTTCAATTAAAAAACAAGGGACTAATATAATGTTTAACTCATTGTTTCCACTGGACGTATACAATAAACCATATCATATTAGACACACATAAAGATGTACATTAAAACACAGTTAATAACAGTTTAAGAGCGCTAGAAGGAAATTGTCAGCAGCACTGTTGCCCATGCCAACACCATCAATTTTTTTCTTCCCTACTCAACCCTAACAGAAACTGTATTTATATCTTCATCATAACTATTTTTCCCAAAGCATGTACAGTACGTATAGTACCATTTTGCTGAAGACCTTAAAAGAAAACAATTTCTAAATATGTCTTTCTTGGAGTATTATGATGTTTACATGTTATCAGAACATGTTAATACTATGAAATTTTATTTGCTAGAAAGTGATGTTGTAAACCATTTTTCCAGGTTGGATATGATTCTATAAGATGGAGCACCTTTGAATGCCTTACACATTTTGCAGTAGAACGTACTCCAGTCGTTGGGTATTTTAGGGTTAAAAACATTTCTCCATCGGAAATAGGATTGATACTTTTCATTGTTTTTGTCAAGTTCTAAAATGTAAGCAGCTAACTGCTGGGCATCAGAGAAGTCATCGACATGAATAAAGGAATCTTGAGGAATGAAACGTTCATAGTTTTCACGAGAAGGCCCCATTACAATTGGCACTGATGCTGAAAGAAAAGCATTGTTCCAAAGCTTTTCTGTAATATAATCAGTGTCTCTAGAGTTTTCAAAAGCCAAGTAAAACTTGTATTTGGACAGAATGAAAGACTGGTTGGCTTTTGGCAATGGCATATGCTGTCTTCCATAGACGTCAATGTCTATATGATGTTTTAGATCTTCATAGTACTTAGACCTTTCATAATTTGGGTTCCAGTTGCTCACAACCCAAGCTACAAGCTTAGATTTTGCTGGTATGCTGAAGAGTTTAGTCCCATCATGTCTCTCTATCCAGCCATAAGGAGTAAAGATGTCAGAATCAGCTCGGTAAGTCATTGTGAGGTTAATTATTCTATTCATCATGTTCAAATTTGGACAATTGCTTGGGGACTCCAAATTAAACCAAACCCAGTATTGCTTTTCAGGTCTTGGACTTGGTGGCAACAGTAACTTTGAGGAGCTCACTTCTCTGTGATGGATGACCACTGCATCTGCCAAATGATAAAAACTTCTGTTGTCAGTAAATATGCATGGATCTCCATAGGAAGATACTGGACACTGGTTGAGTGGAAACTCTTCCCCAAAAGGTCGGGACCACAAAAGAATGAGATGTTCTTTTTGTTTTTCTGGTTTTGAAGGCGTTTGATTAATCCTGAGCTGCGGCTGAATATTATATCTGCAGTTCATGTTAAACAGCAGAGTACAGAAAAAAAACACAATAGTCTGTGTTCCAATTAAAAAAAGACATTGAAGAAAACATGATCGATTCATTTTGAAATATACATACAAGCAGGATCTAGGAAAAAAGGAAAATATGTTATATAGCAAAGTAGGGTTTTCTGTATTTTTGCTGAAAATTTGAATATCTAAAGCATCAAACAGAGGTCTTACTTGTTTGGAACTTTAATTGAATTGAATAAATATGTTGTAGTTTACCTTTGCAAATAGCTTAGCTACAGAGCAGAGGCATATAGTATTCAATGTATCTTAAGGCAAATGGATCACTGAGGTTTAAAGTCCTCATGTTTTTTATGCTGATACAATCAACTTATTTTTTCATTTTTATTGAACATTGAACTTTTTATTCAATAAAAAAAAAGTACAATTTAAACCACTCTACCATTTGTTAAAGAAGCCCGATTATCAACCTAAAAAAGCAGGTAAATCATAGAAGAATTAAAGTGGTTGTAAACCTCAGACATGAAATATAAACAAAGCACATCCTTCTATAGTGTGTACTTGTCTCAGTCCAGAGCATTGAGTATTATTTCTGTCTGCTATCTTGTTCCTCTGTTGTCTGTATTAGTCAGTTCTGACAAGTTTTCCTGACACCAGAGATAAAAAGGTGACAGGGGAGGGACATTCAGTACACAGTCTGTGATTGACAGCCTCAGCTCTGTTCCTGTGTTCTGTGTGAAGGGGTGCGTGTCCCTTCCCTCCAGTCAGCTCTCGGCTCTCCTCACTGAGCTATGCAGAGTATACCTTCAGCTCACTGCCTCCTACTTTTCTGAAAGCTCACACAAGTTTTATAAATATTCTGTAATTTGAATGGCTGTAGAGGAGAAAAGACTGCAGATACACAGGTAAAACATTTCTAGGAGGATTTGTTTATCTCTGTGTATCCCCTGAGGCTATCCACTTCACTAGGTATATGTATGGGTTTACACCCACTTTAAGTATTTTAAATGCTTAGTTGCAGTGTTTTTCCTGTCCATAAATTATGTTTTATCCACTTGCAATGTGCCTAGGAACTTTCTTGAACTTGTCCAGGAAAAAAATGGAACTTGTCCAGGAAGAGTCAGTTCCCTAGAACAGCCCCCACCCTTCTTGCATATCATGGGCTTCTAATTTTTTGAGAGTGTCTAATTGCTTTCTGTGCTGACCCAGCTCATCTGCCCCTCCACCTTCACCTCTTTATATATACACGTTTATGTAGATGCTGGTTGAAGAAGAAAGGGAAATACTGAAGAGCAGATGCAGGAACTCATAAAATAACTTTTAGATCTCAGTGAACTTCTGTCATTATTATATCTACAGCTCACAATACATTAATTTGGTGTTCAGTGGGAATAATGCATCTTATATTGGTGATAAGTGGAAAGAATGCTCCCCTTATAGACTGCTAAAATGATCATTGGTGTCACTGGTTACATATCTGAGATGGAAATTTGCCTATTGATGAAGGCACCCCTAGCAACCTCTGGATGGGAAAGGCAACTAGAGTGTCACCTGAGTGAGAGCTCCAAGCCTGTTGGGGCTACTGACATCACATACAATATCACATCCAACTGCGGTGCCCAGCATTGGTCTTAGGCCTTTTAGATGTCTACAAAAGAGAGGCTTTTACAGGTCAATAACAAACATCTGATGAGCTAAATGCACATTCAATCCTATAGGAAGATTTTTGCGGCAAAACATGGTCTGGTGACAGGGTCGCTTTAAAACAAAACTTCAAGCAAATATCAAAATACATATATAAATATTTTGGGGGACTTTTATAAATACAATTTCTCCAGTTGCACCCTTTAACTGAAGTGAAACTGTCTTAAATAGATTTGTCATATTGTCACATTTCAAACGTGTTGTATTGATTTGTGTTTGTTGCTTTTTGCATGATAAACTGATGTGTAGGCAGGTTGCCTACAGGTGTGGGTTCGCAGAGGTGGGTGTGGGTGTTAGCAGAACTAGCTAGTCTGTCCAGGTTAAGGAAGGGTTAATGTTGGCTCTGCAGTTCCCACTCTTTCTGGGCTCAGCCCCTATCCTCTGTGTGGTTATAAAAAGGAGAAGGCTAAGCTCACAGAGCTACTGCCATATGGGAATAAAAGAAAGAGGCCCACAGAAGAAGATGTAACCGTTTACGGCAAGCAGCCACCCAGGAGCTTCCTCGGGCTCTCCTGCCACATCATGGACTTTTACCAAGTAATGGACCTTGAAAGGTATGCTTGGGCAGCCGCTAAACAGTCAGTCAGTTAGGATGTGTCAGAACTGTGTTCCACTTTATCATGTTTGATCATTGAACTAAAGTTGTTAACCTTTATTCTAAGCCTGGTCTGAGAGCTTACCAAAGGGGTGCATGAGAGTCACATGGCAGATATGCTTCATTACTTTGGATCAGTTAAAGCACACACGAGATATGAAGCAAGTCGCAAGAGGTTAACTAAGCATTAGAGTGAAAAAGGTGGATGGTTGGAACAGGACACCTTGGTTCAGCAGTGTCCCTCCAAAATGCAGCAGTTCACAGTCAAGGTGTGCAGTGATTTGGGACTTCATTGTTTTACTGGAACTCCGTATGTGCATTCATTGCACACAGTGTACAGCTCATCTCTACGTCTGGGCCTGCCTTAAGGCTGATTTCACCTGAATGCTGCAGACGCCTGCCTCGTCCCAGGGCATTGATCAGCATGCACATGGGAAAGGTACCCCATGTGCAGGGCAAGCAACACCGCCCACAGTGCCTGGTGTAGCCCAAGAACCTGGTGGGTGCACATTAATGAATGTGGTAAGCATGCATCACTTGCCTCCCAGCCCACTCATGGAAAATTCGGTACAGTGTAACATAAATGTAGGATGCGGATAGCTGAGATGTAATCTGTGCAAATATGTAATTGTAGATCTCGTCTCATGTTATTACAGATATTTTTATTATTATTATTATACAGGATTTATGTAGCGCCAACAGTTTGCGCAGCGCTTTACAATATAATAAGATAAGTGTTCAATATTCAATCAGAGACAAATATTCACCAATTAGCATCTGAATAGACAGAGCAGTTTCTAGGCTAGAGGTGACACCTAGATGCCAATAAAACGTTGTCACCTATGTAGCCAAAGTTTGTCAAATTCTTGAAATCTAAAAGAAGAGCTCTAGCCATTTCGGCTTTGGAAAGCAGCAAGAGACCAGGAGTGGCTCCAAAATGTCTTCCAGCTCTGATTTACTGTATATCCACAGATCAGAGGAATCTGTTTCATTTCTCATAAAAGCTAAAATATTAGTTGCAGAGAGATGAAAATACTTCCTTCTGATTGGACACACTGTAGGCTCCATCTATATGTAAAAGTGTATTTGTAGCCTATGTAGAATCCTAGAGAAATGCAGAAAACAGTTATATGTTGCCTGATTGCGAACAGCTGAACAGTGATTGGTACTTTCACGATTGGACTGATGCGCTGGTGTTGGAAATTCTATCCCTGACTTGGTGATTCAAACTGTTCCTGGTCCAATCGACTTTGGGCACGTCAGAACCCAGAATGTCCTGTGGGCTGGTACAGACACCCCCCCCAGGGTTGATTGGCCAAGGGCTAATGTCCAGCCCACATTCATATTTCAATAAATTGAGAACCCTGAGATATGGACGGGGTGATTCGTATGGAGCAGGTTCTATTTGACTGGCGAATCGCAGACTTTCTTTGACTTGCTCCAGTCGCAGGATAACTCTTGGTAAAAGTTTTATTTCTGTTTTTATTCCCTTTTATTTTATAGTGAATAGCCAATTGTGTGTCTTTTTGTATTTTCTGTAACTGTTTTATTTGTACATATTTTATGCACTACCCACTTTCAGGATAATAAATCATAAAATGAATGTGACTTCTGGGTACTTAAGCTTGGGCTTATATCTCCGGAGAGATTGTTTTTATTGCATTGCCTATATGTGCTCGGTCGAGTTAATTGCCAATCTGTATGCAATTGCACTGCATATTGGCAGATTGCATGCAGATTGTAAAGTAGCAGATCTTCCAGACTGAGATCTGTGTGTGCTTGGTGGCCCAGCAGACCAGTCTGCAGACAAACTGTTGGGTGGTGACAAGCTACCGTTTGTTGCGTTTCTGGTGTGGGGGTGTGTGGACAGTGGAAGAATGATTAACACCGGGGTTCTAGCTTGTAGGATAGCTGGAAATATTTTATTTAAGATAAAACTTGCAACCAGCATCTTTTTATACAAAAATACAAAATAATAAATACATTAACCATACTTCTGGCAAAATAATATACAGAACAGAACAAGATATTTCTCCTCAAAACAACTTATCGTCAATAAGAAACACTTCATCTTGTATACCCTCACACAAAGGGAAAATCATACACAGACACTTGCCTGTGTTATATTAAGGCCTTTATGGCCACCACCATAAGTCATCAAAAGGCATAAGTAAATATTACAGAGAAGCAAAGGACAAACCAAGCCTTTATGGCCTGCTATCCTGAATTACACTCATGTCCCTTATAGGGACTACAATTTTGAACATCAAGATCATATAGACCTTTATGGTCTTAACAACAAACTATACTTACTAACTTACCCAACAAAGACGAAGAAACCCAGACCTTCAGGTACCTGTAGCCTTTCTTCAAAAAAAACCTACCACCCAAAATCTAGGGGGGTGAAAAAAGAAGAGAAATCAGGAGAGTAACCACACCAAGAGATCAACAAACCGCAGCTACAGGCCCGATATTCCTCCACGCCTCTATCCAGGCCCTTCGCCGCAGTCGGTCTTTCTCAAGACCCTGATTTTTCCCTACCTCACCAAAAATGTCACACACCACCACCACCTAACAGGAAGGACCTTCTGCCGCAAGGAGACCTGACACCGTGCATTCCAGGTGTAGTAACAGACCACTAGACAAACTAGAAACAGTGTTCAAATCAAAACCAGAGAGCGACTTTCCAATGCCCCATACACCCACTCTG